TCACCATCCTATCATACAAAACCATCACCATCTGCTCACTGTATATCCCACCTCACACCCTTTTCACCACCAAAAACCTAGAAAATCTAGTGGAACAGTTGCCAAAACCATTTATCTTAGTTGGGGATTTCAATGCTCATTCAACCCTTTGGGGTAGCGACAAAACTGACGCAAGAGGGCAAGCCGTGGAAGATTTCATCTTATCAAATGACATCTGCCTCCTTAATTCCGGTGCTTTTACCTACTTTTCACCAACCTCGCGCACTTTTAGTTGCTTAGATCTCGCCATGTGTTCATCGTGTATTTTTAATGATTTTAAATGGGACGTCGTCAACACGTCTTATGGTAGTGATCATCAACCCGGCATCATAAAACTCATACCATCTTACCCAACTTTAACAAGCAGGCCACGCCGGTGGAAACTGCAGCTAGCGAACTGGCCAGTTTTCACAGAAAACGCTAAGCTCGATGAAGTTTTCTCATCGTAGCTTTCTGTTGACGAACTAAACGAAGAGTTCGTCAAATTTTTAATCTTAGCAGCAGAAAAAGCAATACCGCAATCATCCGTCATCGTATGCAAGAAATTCAACCCTTGGTGGACAAACGAGTGTACTGATGCCAAAAAACTACAAAATAAGGCCTGGGGAATTCTACGAAGATACCCCACCTACGCCAACCTCATCAACTTCAAACAGGCAAAAGACAGAGCCCGATTTATTCGAAGACAGGCAGAAAAGGATTCATGGCAAAAATACATATCATCAATTAACAGTTCAGTCACATCTAAACACATCTGGGACCAGGTGAGGAAGTTCAAGGGAGAGTACTCCTCCTACACAATACCACTGCTTACAAGTCCAAACACACAATCAACACTAGAAGACTAGGCCAACCTATTAGGAGAACACTTTTATAAAGTATCATGCTCAGCAAATTACACCAATTCATTCATGAAATATAAAGAAAATGCAGAAAGACAAAGATTGCCTACTAGCAGTTCCTCAAATGAAAGTTATAACCTTCCGCTTACGCTGCACGAATTGAACAAGGTACTTTCTGCCGGTAAAAAAACGGCAACAGGGTCTGACCAGATACACTACGCAATGTTGGCACACCTATCCCAAGCATCCGCGAAGGCACTTCTCCAATTCTTTAACAAAATATGGTACTCTGGCATAATGCCTGAAGATTGGAAAAAAGCCATAGTAATACCATTCCTAAAACCTGGTAAACCCCCAACAACCCCAAGTAGCTATAGACCCATTGCATTAACAAGTTGCCTTGCAAAAACTTACGAAAGCATCATAAATATTAGACTTACCTTCACTCTGGAATCGGAGCACCTAATAGATGCACACCAGTGCGGATACAAAAAGGGCTGTTCCACCACTGATCACATTGTTAGGCTGGAACAAGAAATACGACAAGCATTTCTACACAAACAGTTCTGTCTCTCGGTCTTCTTTGACTTAGAGAAAGCATATGACACAACTTGGAGATACGGAATTCTCAGAGATTTAGCTAACTTAGGGATTCGCGGAAGAATGCTGAACTGCTTACACAATTTTTTATCAGATAGAACTTTTCAAGTACGGTTGGGTACGGTACTGTCACGAATATTTGTCCAAGAAAATGGTGTACCACAGGGCTGCGTTTTGAGCACCACCCTGTTTATAGTGAAAATGAACTCCATCAACAGGGCTATACCCCGTACAGTCATGCACTCCATCTATGTTGATGATCTGCAAATTGCATGCCGAGCCTCCAGCCTATCGTCCTGCGAAAGGCAACTCCAAATTACAATAAATCGGCTTACGAAATGGGCCGATCAAAATGGTTTCCGCTTTTCAGCCCAAAAAACCACAGCTGTTCTCTTTACGCAAAAGAGAGGATTGTTCCCCGAACCCGCGCTCAAACTATACAACATCAACATGCCGGTAAAACAAGAACACAAATTTCTAGGAATCTCATTCGACCGAAAACTAAACTTTCTGCCACACATAAATGCACTGAAAACTAAAGCAAACAGAGCACTCAATGTGCTGAAAGTACTCTCCCATAAACACTGGGGTTCCGATCGACTCTGCCTTATACGTATTTACCGATCTCTTGTACGCAGCATTTTAGACTACGGATGCATAGTCTACGACTCGGTGCGAAACTCATACGTCCTCCGTCTTGACCCTATACACAACCTCGGTCTCCGTCTGTCAAGTGGTGCTTACAGAACATCACCTGTGCAAAGTCTATACGTAGAATGCAATGAGCCCCCTCTATGTGATCGAAGAGCATTACTAACCTTGTCATATGTTTTAAGAATAAGGTCGTCACCTGAACACATCTGCTATGAAATTGCCGCAAAATGTGACTCGCGCTCACACTACCTCAACAAACCGAACCTAATCAAACCACTTGTCCTACGTTTCGAGGAATACTGCCGCTTTTATACCATCCCTGATGGATCACTAGATGTCGCTATTAAACCACCAAGACTGCCGCCATGGTTTGACCTGTCACAGCTATGCGATTTTTCACTAAGCCGTTTCAACAAAAAAAGCACCCCACCAGAACACATAATCCAAGAATTTTATACACTTCAGCACGGATATAGGGATTACGAAGAATTTTACACAGATGGCTCAAAAACGGAGGACCACGTGGGTATTGGGATTGTGACGACGAAAAGCGCAATTTATGTGAAAGTACCTCGTAGTTTTTCTATTTTTTCAGCTGAAGCTTATGCCTTGAGTGAAGCAGTTCGAAAAATCATCGCTGAAAAATACAAGAAAGCAATCATATACACCGACTCACTAAGCACACTAAAAGCACTACATATAAAATCCGAATGTGAGCCTATAGTAGGCGACATTCTAAACATGGTATACTTAAACAGCCAGGCAACCTGCATCCGTTTCTGCTGGGTCCCAAGTCATGTTGGGATACCCGGAAACGAAAAAGCAGATAAGTATGCTTCCCAGGCAGCCCATAAAACAGTAACAAAAGTAAAAATTCCCCTTAAAGACATCCAGAGAACAATTCGCCTGGCCCTACTAGCAAAATGGCAAAAGCAATGGGACACCTGCACGAACAATAAGCTCCACCTGGTGAATCCCACACTCGGGGAATGGAAGACCTGCCGTCACCAGCAACGGTTTATTGAAGTTGTATTATGCCGACTTCGCATTGGACACACACACTTGACACACAACTTCTTACTCGCAAAGGAAGAACAACCAACGTGTGAGAAATGCCAAGAAGCGTTAACACTTATGCACATCCTAATCACATGTCCTACCATTGAAACACAGAGACAAAAACATTTCAGCAAGCTATACAAACAACACGTACCTTTACACCCTGCTTTGTTCCTAGGAGATGATCCTCTAGTACCTCTGCCTGACTTGCTAAACTTTCTGAAAGAATGTAACCTGTTAAATAAGCTTTAAAATCTCATCTTTTCAGTGTCCACTCCTCAAAGTCTTGTGTCTGGCGCAGCATAGCCTTAGCTGCTTTTGCGCCATAAAAAACCAAATTAACCTAACCTTTTCGATGGGAATAGCTCGTAGGGGACACATGACTCTATGTGCCTTGGCCAAAAATAATACTTCTAGAATGTCACCCCTTGCAAGTCTTCACGATTTTCGTAAGACTTTCCAGTCCCATTTCCGATAGGAGAACAACCGCTCTTAATTTGACCTTGGAAGGCGTCCCGCTGAACGGTTTGAAGTTTTTTCTTCTATAGTTGTTTTTGTTTTTTCTTTGAAATGGAGTTCAGCTAGGGCAGCAAACCCGCCATTCTTATCACACTGTAAGAGAACCAAACCCAAATTCTTGATGCACTCCGCTGTCTTGCGTAGAACCATTCGGTTGCTAACCTTGCTGCATGGCGCACGACCTAATGCGTTCGGTAAAGACAGACTGTTGTCTCTCAGCAGCAGTCGAGGCAATTGTGTCATATATTTCCAAATTATGTTGTACCAACTGGCCCAGCATTCCACTTTATTGAATCTCGGTGCATATTTAGTGCATATACCCTAGCTGCATGATGACGACCATGAGACACGATCTATGTCAGCCTCTCTAAATATGTGCTCTGAAGCAATGCTTTCTAGGTGTCATTGGCTGAAAGATTCATCCCAAAGAACTACACTGCAGAGAATGCCAAAATGACACAACGCTCGGGCACAACATGCGCATGCGTCGTGTGATCCTCCCGAATTGATAGGGAGGAAGGTATGTGGCTTGCGAAGGCTACACGGGGTAAGGGTTTCAAGATCGTCTCCTTGCACCATGGCTTTGTGGCTCGTAATAAACCTACTTGAAAAAAGATTGTAGCCTAACGCTTTTCAATGGGGATGCAACAGCTCCTATTTTTCACATCACCTGGTGAAGGGCACTTTAGTAAGTAAATTACAAAGTAATAAAATGCACATGACGTCTTTTTATTCTTGTGATCTACACTGCCCTGCAGGCACTCTACAGTTTCGCCCACCACCACACTTCGCGGAAGTGAACTGGCTGACCGGCTGTAGAAGCCGTCTGCCACAGCCATGGACGCCCCTCGGCTCTTTTCATGTTCATTTCCCTCTTCCCACTCCTCCGCTGACGTGCCAGTGGTTGTTTTCCAGAAGTTGGTTGAGCTTTAGGGCTAGATTGTACCCCAAAGGTCAATATTGCATTGTGTCTAAGTGCACTGGAAAGCAAAATTTGAGATTAAATACTGTCCATACATGCACCGATTTATAAACTAGACATTTAAAGCTCTATAAAAACACTTCTTAATCTCTAATTCATGCTCATATATTAATGTGGCTCTAGAGGAATGCAAAGAACAAAGTAGGCATTTGTCTAAATTTTGGTTTCTAAGGATAATCAATAAGATAGCTATATCCGGGAAAAATTCAAATCAGGCCAAAAAAGCACGACAAGCCACTCTGACCAATATGCTCATTTTTGTGTGCTAACGAGGAGTGCATTTTCTTTGAAATTTTCTTTGGCAGAGCGAGCTGTGTGCCCTCAAGTTGGGTGCCACATCAAAGGTGGTGGGATCCTCCATGGCCCAGCTGCTCACTGCTGCATCCCAGGTGACCACTCTCGAGGCTTCACTGATTGTATTTCAAGATGCAACATAATAGGCGCAGTACTGCAGTAAAGATGGGCTAGTTGGTTTTGTTGCATGCTGTATCCTTTGGCGCACACAGACGAGGACAAATGGGATAGAGACACAGGGACCAGCGCAGGCTTACAACTGATTTATACTCAATAAGAAAACAGAATACATGTTCTTTTCAGCACCTCACAATCACTGCGTATGAGCAAAAGCGGCATTGCAGAAACAAAAAACTATATATAGAAGACCAATACATTCTTTAACAGATGTGTTCTTAGTGGAACAGAAGTGTTTTTTGCATAAAAAGCGCATAAGCTAAGGGTTCCGTTCAGAGCAATAGTGTCAGAACACAATTCATGGCAGTTCGTTGTGTCTGGTTTTCTCCAAAAAATATTAGCTTCTTTGTCTCCTAAAGATTTATTTTTGATTAGGAATTCTGAGGAGGTGGTATGGTACCTATCTGGCATTGAAGAAGGCAGCTACAGTGGTTTTAATCAGACAACAAGAGAAATTGTAGAAACTTGGCATATCTCTAGACTTAAAGACATGTGTGTTAGTCATCCTTCCGTATCACTGAATGAGAAAGAAATTGAACTGCTGAATAACATTTCATTTTACACTGCATCTGTTAAAGAATGTATTGGTCTTATATATTTTTTGTTTGTACGATGCCATTTTTGCTCATGCGCAGTGATCATGAGGTGCTGAAATGAGTATGTATTCTGTTTCCTTATTGAATAAAAATCAGTTTTAGTTCGTGCTGGTCCCTGTGTGTCTATCGTATCTGTCCTAGTGTGTGTGCACTAAAGCTTCAGTATGAAGCGCAATACTACCCTGTTAGTCAAACCAAGTTTGATTTTATAGATGTAAAGAGTGTTGACCACGACTCTTCTCATGTTCATTCCATGGTATGATGTTTACAAAGATAGAGCAGTGTGTAATACACTAGAGCCGCATAATTTCTTTTTGATTGGGACATAAACTTTGTTACAATAAAAGAATAATGGAAATCTTTTCGACAGAGGATGACTGAACTGTGTTCCTGTATAGGTGCCACTAGCAACCTTCTTTGGGGGGGATTGGGGGGTGATAATAACGCTCTGTGCTGACCATTCTTTTGAAAATAAATTTGCTGCTTTTTTTTATATTAGAAATGCCTTCCTTAATGTGCTGACATACTGTAAGATAATTAGCGCAGCCTTAACTCCACTTACGCTACTGTGCTGAGGTTTAGGATTGGGTGTTTTCACCTTTAATTTGGGGTGCGACTGTGTTTTACATTGAACTTACAGGGTAACGAGAGCTACACTGGCACCGCGGCCCGAGACACAGCCAGTGCCCTGCAGCAGCTGGTGGAGGCCGTGCGTGGCGTTGTGGCGTCCAGCGGCGGAGAGGCCCAGCGCCTGGTGGAGCCAGCGCGCCAGGTGCTGGAGCGGTCGTGCCAACTGCTCGAGGAGGCCCGGCAGGCTGTGCTGCGCCCGGACGAGCCAGACAAACAGCAGCGGCTGGCGCACGTGGCCAAGTCGGTGTCAGCGGCTCTCAATGCTTGCATCAACTGCCTGCCGGGTCAGAAGGATGTGGACGACGTCATTCGCACCATCACCGAAAGCTCACAGGTAGTTGTGGAAAATAACTACAGCCCATTGGTGGCCCGTGTGCTGCACCAGTGGACAATGGTGCTCCGCCACTAACCTGAAAGACTCAGGCCGTGACAGTATCATTTCAGGGGAGGTCGAGATGATTGGGGCTTCCATGCTGTGCAGTGTCAACTCTGTGAGGGTCTTTGGTAAAATGTATTTTGAAAAAATTGGTGTCATAATTCTTTTTGAGTGACTCTACAGTTACAAAAGAAATTTTTGGTGTTGTTGTGTACACATAGTTTACTTGTGAGTAACAAGAGCAATTCTAAAAAAGCCTTTAGAACTTTTAATAAAGTGATACATTGTAATTCACAAACATTGAAAATACAAGGGTGCTTGCTTGCTCGGCTACGTGTGTTCAACGCATGTAATAGCTTGCAAAACTGGAAAGGACGCTCTTTACGCAGTGTCATCCTTTCCAGTCTTGTGTGCTTCTACAGTTGTCACAAAAGTCCAAAACACCCTGCCCAACTCACCTGGCTGCAGAGCAAGCTGCGCATGGCATAGCAGAACTGCGTGGGAAAGCACAATGCAAAACAAGTGAACAGCCTGTAATGAATGATAGGCTTGTGTGAATATTCGAACTGTTAAGACATTTATTGACGGACACTCAGCGTTGAATCATGACAGGGACAGTCTATGCGGAGACCGACTCTTTGCACGAGCTGCTCTTCTTTTTATGAAAAAGGCGACCCACTAGAAGGTGCTGAAGAGGACGACCCACTGTTCGAAGGCTTTGCCACAACTACCCCGGGTACGAAAAGGGAGCTGCCTGGCTACTTAACAGCTGGTTACTATGAGCAGATCATGGTAGGCCTTGAGGCGCTCCACGTTAACAATGTCGCGCCCTCGACGGCGCATGTCCGAAGATGGTTCGATATGTTCAGTCAACTAGTTTACAGGGGAAGTGCGTTCGACGACACGGTAGGGGCCTTCGTATTGGGCAATAGTTTTGAAGATAGGCCAGTTGCAGTGGTAGGGATCGGAAGCCAGATGAGCGCTCCAGGAAGGATTGTGGGCGCAGTAGTGCTGGCGTCCGCGCGAATGCTTTTTTTGCCGCTCTTGATTATGCGCAGTAAAGGTTTTTGCAAGCTCTCGACACTCTTCAGCAAGCTAGGCTGTAGCAGAAATAGGCGCCCACTCGGACGGATCTGGCTGTACGGAAGTATCGTGTCGATGGTGTGCGACGGGTGCCTTCCATATAATGAAAAGAAAGGTGAAAAGCCAGTAGTGCTCTGAGGGGTGGTATTATATGTGTAGTATTATGTCGGCTTGGTGAACTCGGTCAGGGCCCGAAGCTTGGCTGGATCAGGGAGAATTCCGTCCTTAGGCAAGACTTAGCCGAGTATTGTCAGCTGCAGAGCTGCAAATCGACACTTCTTTAGGTTCAGTTGCAGACTGGCGTCACTCAGATGCGTTAAAACATGCCGCAGGCATTGAAGATGCGTGGAAAAGTCCGGTGCAAAAACGACGACATCATCGAGGTAGCACAGGCATGTGTGCCATTTCAGGTCACGCAGAACCATATCCATCATGCGGTCAAAGGTGGCGGGCGCATCGCACAGCCCAAACGACATGATGTTGAATTCGTACAAGCCGTCAGGGGTCACAAAAGCGGTCTTCGGTCGAGCGCCTTCAGCCATAGGTATTTGCCAGTACCCTTTGCGCAAATCGAGGGATGAAAAGAATTCTGCTCCTTGCAGACTGTCAATCGCGTCATCTACCAGCGGTAGTGGGTACACGTCCTTACGAGTCATCTTGTTGAGGTGTCGTAGTTCACACAGGGCCGCACAGAACCGTCCTTCTTCGCGACGAGAACGACAGGAGACCCCCAGGGGCTGCTAGAGGGTTGAATAACATCGCGGCGAAGCATGTCGTCGACTTGCTCGTTGATTACACGGTGTTCTATGGGGAGATACGCGATATGGACGATGCCACAGTGGTGGCTGTGCGCCTGTGTCGATGCGATGCGTAACAGTGGATGTGCGGACGAGAGAAGGCTGAGCCACATCGAAAGAAGGCTGGAATTCTTACAACAGGCCCAGAAAGCTGGAAGCGCGGCATATGGTTGTCGGAAATGGAGGGACCGAATACATCATCGGAGGATGAAGCAGATGTAGAAACAGCACTAAGCGTACTGGAACTTAAGCAGTTCATGTCATCGGGCTGATTCATAACTTTTCCATCTTCGATGGGTATCGCACTGCCGAGACATTCCCCTCGCACCAACATAACGCTGTACGGGGATGAGTTCAGAACAAAAATAGTGGTGCTGCCGTGAGTGAGTTGCACGATTGCGAAAGGAACCAGCAAGCCCTTTCTGATGAAAACACGATGAGATGGCGAGAGGAGTGCAGCGGTGTCAGAAAGACTTGCGCAGTAGACCGACACCGCAGCGGACGAGTTTGCAGGCACTTGCGTGTCGTCTCTGACGAGAAACTTGTTCGCAGCAAATGGACTGTCGGCCGGTGTCAACGAAAAGAATTGTGTGAGCTTTATTTCTGCTGGTGCGCAATGAATTACGGCGTCGTGGCGGGAGAGAAAATCCCATCCTAAGATGACGTCGTAAGAGCATGAAAGAATTATGATGAGTTCGACGGCATACATCACGTCCTGAATCATGAGGCGGGCTGTGCACATCGCTGTAGGGTGAATGCTTTGGGCGCTGGCTGTACGGAGGCAAAGCCCGGAAAGTGGCGTGGTCACTTTGCGCAGTACTCGGCTAAGTTTTGCGTCCATGACTGTTATGGCGGCTCCAGAATCTACAAGGGCAGATGCATGAACACCATCCACAAGCACCTCTATCACGTTCCATGGGTTTTCCTGAGGGCTTCTGCAGTTCGACAGCATCGCAGCCCTTGCCTCGTGAACTGCGACGGCTAGTTTTCTTGGTCCCCCTTGAGTGGACGTGGCCGCATTGGCGACAGTAGGCGACGTCGCGGAGATGGTGAATGGCGGATAGACGGAGCGGGTAGGGACGACGGTGACATAGGCGGCGGTTGGTCATAAGAACAGCTCGATTGGCTGGGAAAGTTGGAGGCGACCTGCGGTTGCTGCACACGATTGCAATAGCGTGCTACGTGACTGACGCAACCTCAAGCAAAGCAGATGGGGCGATTCTCAGAAGTGCATCATTGGTTCGCAGGTCCCATCCAGGTCGTAGAAGGCGTTGGGCGAGCCGGCTGCTGATATGAGTGCATAGTGGGTGGCACTCGGGGCACGTGTATGACGTCGGCGTATGTAGGCGACACAGTTTCTCCAAAGGTCTGGGGCCTGGTGATGGTTTCGGTGTAACTTAGGGGGCCAGCCACAGAAACTGGGGGGGGTGGTCTGGCGACAACTTGGGTGTAGCTGAGTGGCGCAGGTACAGGAGGCGGCCGGCGGTATTCAGGAACTACCTCCGCGATTTCCTGCTGAATGGCTTGGCGGAGGGGAGGTAGAAGTGTACTTGATGGCTGTTTAGCATGTTGCGGGGAAGCAAAAGCCAGTGAAGAGACTTGGCGGGCAACTTCTTCACGCACGAGCGACTTGATTTTGGCGAGCAAGGTTGTGTGGTCAGGAACTGCTGAAAAGGCCGACAGATCAGCATCACGTGGTGGCGGTCGACGAGTCATCAAGCACTGCCGCCGCAGCTCGTCGTAATTTTGGCATAATGTAATAACTTCTGCCGCAGTGTGGAGGTGCTTGGCCAGGAGCATGGTGAAAGCATCGTCGGCGATGCCTATGCCTTTTAGAACATGCGTGATTTTGTCAGCCTCTGACATGTCTGGGTGGACTTTCTTGCAGAAGTCAAGGATGTCCTCGATGTAACTTGTGAAGGACTCGCCGGTATGCTATGCTCGTTCACGTAAACGCTGTTCGGCTTGCAGTTTACGAACGGCAGGACGGCCGAACACGTCGACGAGAGCGGTCTTAAAAGCGGACCAAGTCTGGAAATCAGATTCGTGGTTGTTGTACCACATTCCGGCCACACCTGCGAGGTAGAAAAACAGGTTACCGAGTTTAGCTGCCTCGTCCCAATGATTGGGGACGCTCACGCGTTTGTACATGGCGAGCCAGTCCTCGATGTCAGTGCCATCCGCGCCGGTGAAGACAGGAGGGTCGCGAATGCGGGGGACACCGGGACATGGCGTCGGAGTAGAAGGAAGCGTTTGCTGAGCGGCGTCTTGGTGCATGGTAAAAGACACAGTACGGAATCGAAGCTCCAAGGGCATCGAATAGGGACCAGAGGTGTTTGAAGGGCACAGCACTCTCCACCAAATCGTTAAGACGTTTATTGGCGGACACTCGGCGTTGATTCACGACAGGGACAGTCTATGCGGAGACCGACTCTTTGCACGAGCTGCTCTTCTTCTTATGAAAAGGGCGACCCACTAGAAGGCGCTGGAGAGGACGACCCACTGTTCGAAAGCTTTGCCACAGATTGATTAATGCAGTATTCAAATTTGCTTGTAATTGAATGGGCATTTCGAATCATTCGAGACGAACGAATAAATTCATTTTAGTCCGCATCTGCACCCTGTACATACACCTGTCTAGATGTATAATAATTTGCATGTAACTCTTTGTAAATGTGGTTTCACTGTAGTGAGCTGGTGCTGAGCCGTCAAAACACCTATCCATGAGAAATTCGCGCTATCGCGAAGCTCCTTTTCAAGGTTAAATGAACTTGTTACCCTCAATTTATCCACAGTTGAAAAGCTTGCCATACCACCTAATATGCTGTAAGTATAAAAAATTTTAAAACATAAGATATTTTACAGGCTATCACTTGCACTCTACAGAAAGTCAAATCCTGCTACTATTCGAAGTTGCTTCCACTTCCTTTGATCAGGGGTGAAAGTGCTGAACAAATTGCGGTATTCTGTGCCAGTCTGATCTGCAGCGCCGAGGTGCACCTAACGGCAATTGGCATGTGCAATGCCCAATTCAGTCGAGTTTTATCATCGACCGAGCAACACGTCTGTTACAAAAGGACGCAACTGCGTCCATATAAAATTAGTTTGGTTATGTTATATTTCGTTTCATGCATGAATCTTGCGCCAGGTGAACAGAATGCATGAATCTTAAGTTGGTGTTTGAGTGCATATCTCATTATGCGACTCTATATATGTTTTAATAGCAAAGCTGTTAGTCAAACTCTAACTATGACAGAGTTGTAAAAAAATTGGCCCCGTATCTGCATGTAATCTGCAAATGTCATCGAAAGACGATAGTCTTGCGTGTGGAGAGAGTGAACAAAACATTTATTTGATGTTCTGCGCAAGAAAATCAGTGAATGGTATTCCGGAAGCGCTTGTTAGAGTGCCTCGAGTTTGCAGCGGATACGAACGAGCGCATCAAGTCACGTCACACGTGAGACATGAGCGCCATCTGGCAGTCTTATTTGGAAAACATAGCGCGTGGCCCTGAGATGGGCGTGCGGGTCCGTCTCAGAGGTGGTAAGGTGTAGAACGCAAGGCGACGAGTAGGTGCCACAACCGTGTCGTCTTAGCAAAGCGTTGGAAACACTCGCTTCTTCGTGCAAGCGTTGCATGGTTAGCGCAGCGTGATAAACGCTACGGTCCTTAGAATTACTTATGTATGCCTTTTCTAGTAAAAGACGAACATGCAGAATATATATGTGTTGTTATGGTGCCTCAGATATGCGCAGTGATTGCTTTTTAATTGACAATCGCACGCGTATGAACGCTGATTCTTGAGCAACATTGGTGGGCGCTGCAAATGGGGTCGGCCGTTCGGAGTATCGGCTGGTGCTGTTTAAACTACCCGATTCGCGGTAACGGTGGACAAGCAGACAAATGTACAGACAGACAGACCAAAGTTTTTGCGTCGAAGGGTCCCCAAGAAAGACTGTCGTCTTTAAAAACTCGTCACAGTATTGCCGAACAATCACCGAGCACCGCACGCGCTCGGCGATGAAGATCATCAAACTGTATAAACTGAAAAAAATAAATAAATAAATGAAGATCAGTTTCACCTGTGAAGCGAGGACTGCAATAGCAACAATGTAATGCTAATGCTGCAAGCGGTCCTTTCTATCTTTGTTATGGAACCATTATGCCTGTAAAGCTGCCCTGCGCAAACTGCGCTAGAATGACTGGGAACCATCTAGATAATCTTAAAACCTTTTGTTGAGATTACATGTACAGTGTGTACATTTGAGTTTGTTCTGGAACTCACACGGCCATTAGCGATAATGCTGGAATCTTCGATGGCACATGTCCAAATTGCCAATGCACTTTGCTGCTTGGCAGATCATCTGTGGCTGGCGCTCTATGTGTGCTGCTATCAGCTTACAGCGTGTATTGCTTGTAGAGTGATGTTTTGTTTTCTGGGCACAAGTTAGCCCAAGTAAAAAGTTCACTCATGAATACAGCGGCTGCTGCTTTCATCAGCATCACTACGACCTCGTGACAATACGAAGGCTGACAGCTAGCTCTTTTGGATCTGACATCCTGACGCTCTACAAATTGCTGGTTTAAGAGAATAAGTATGGTCCCTTTAGGGAGAAGTGTTCTTATCGCACAATCTCTTCCCGTTGAGCGCACCGCATAGAATGGTCTACAAACCGATAGCGCGTGCACCAGCTATAGCAACCACAACCTTAGAATCAAAGTACACTGCAGTTGCTCTCAACACAGACAATGTGTTTCTTCTATGCTTGAGCATTTAACGACAGGTCTAGCACGCGGTAAAATGCTCTTGCTTGCGTCCTCTGAGTGACCGAGATGGGCCGCCTCGTTTAATCACTGCTTGAGCAGCGCTCATCACCCTGGCTTGCACAATTATACGCCTGGGTAGAATGTACGATGCGCGGGGATTGTTACCACCCCATACGCAGAACATGGCGGCGACGGCTAAAACCTGTCGAGTCTCAATATAATTTTTATCGTAATGAAAAAAATTTCACTTAATTGCTTTGCAATGGCACAGCGAGTGCATCTAGATTTTCTTGCGGTTCACATGTCGGTTATGAAGCGTGGAAACTAGGGCAAGTTAGTAGGACATAACTGAATATACGAACAGGACTACTAAAAGTACTTACAGTGTAACTACGGAAGCGAAAAAAACAAGAATAGAAAAGAGCGCTGCTCTTTTCTATTCTTGTTTTTTATCCTCTGAAAACAGCCCCGCCGCGGTGGTCTAGTGGCTAAGGCACTCGGCTGCTGACCCGCATGGCGCGGGTTCGAATCCCGGCTGCGGCGGCTGCATTTCCGATGGAGGCGGAAATGTTGTAGGCCCGTGTGCTCAGATTTGGGTGCACGTTAAAGAACCCCAGGTGGTCTAAATTTCCGGAGCCCTCCACTACGGCGTCTCTCATAATCATGAAGTGGTTTTGGGACGTTAAACCCCACATATCAATCAATCAATCATCAATTATCCTCTGAAAACAGACCTAATAGTATGCCATCGGAGCAATCATTTGTGCTGGCTGTTTTCACTGGAAGTGGTAAGCGCCTTTTACTTTTCCACTCAGCTCATTCAAAACTGGTGAAAGGGGGTATCATTAATGTTTGCTTTGTAAACGCCCTTAGGAGGTCATGCCCACATTCGATTCAGCGCAGTTTTATAGCACAGGTAGAGCACCTCTTAAGTGCTGGTTACTCGAACGCCCTGATTTCTGCTGTTGCGGAATAGCTTTTGAAGCAAATCAAAAATAAAGGGGAGCGGTCTCAGCCTCAAAATGCCTCAGTTCCTAAGAACTCTGTTGCAGTTCCTTATTTGTACAACATTTTGCATAGCCTGAAAAAAATCGGGAAATGCGCTGTAGTTTCCGCCCCTGAAAAGCTATCATAACTTTGTAAGTTAGTGAATAATGCAGCTGCAAATAGAGTAACATGTTCTGTGCAACAGAGAACACACTTTGTACCTTTCGTTAATGTTGTCGTATACTTTATTCCTCTATCCAGCAGTACGCCCCGCTGCGGTGGTCTAGTGGCTAAGGTATTCGGCTGCTGACCCGCAGGTCGCGGGTTCGAATCCCGGCTGCGGCGGCTGAATTTTCGATGGAGGCGGAAATGTTGTAGGCCAGTGTGCTCAGACTTGGGTGCAGGTTAAAGAACCCCGGGTGGTCGAAATTTTTGAAACCCTCCACTACGGCGTCTCTCATAATCGATTATATTGTGGTTTTGGGACGTTAAACCCCACATATCAATCAAAATCTGTCCAGCAGTACGATATACATAGGGCAAACCGGAAGGTGCTTGAATGACTGTTTAAGAGAGCACAATGATAATGTGCACAATGCGGTTCAAGGACACCTCGAAATCCACTCACGAGGCTGCGGCTGCATGCCCCTCTTTGAGCTTTGGGAGGTAATAGGCAAGCACCACTCGCAGGCCACGCATGAGATAACAGAAGCCTATCAAATAAGTAAGTTTGACGGTAAATGTGTAAGTTGCCCATCAGTTGCGCTGTTGCAAAAAGAGATTGCAAATCTTGATAATTTTTAGGCTACATGTGTATTGCACCCTTTTACGCATGCCAACTGCACCCTTTTACGCATGCCTATTTTCTTCTTTCTTTGCCTATATATGTATACCACTCTGCTATTAAGTCATTGTTGATAGCGCTCTTTTCTATCTTTGTTTTTTTGCTTCCGTAGTTACACTGTAACTACTTTTCAGTTGCTCTGTTCGTATATTCAGACACATGTCGGCTGTGACACTTCAACATATTTTTTTACATTTATTTTTAAAGAGCCCTATTGGCTTAATATGAAGATAATATTTATTATATTACCCCATTTCTAGTCTTTAGTTGCTGTTCATGTTAGATGTGGTGTTTTAATCACATTTTGATTTTTGCAACATTTTAACGTTAAAATCTTTAATTCCTAGGAGGTTTATTAGCTGTCCAGAGTGCCGCATATGTTCTTTCGTTGATTTGCTGTGCTTCCAGTTTTGATGCTAGATGTAATATGTATCACTTTAGGAGAACTCTGGTTGCTTGATCAGCATTTCATGCTTAGTAAGAACCACTGACATTTTTTGTATTTACCAAAAAAGCAAAAATTCTAATTAAGAGTGATGTGTGACCCGAGAAATTAGCTCCAAAACTCAATTTCGATGCTCCAAAATGCCTTTTGGTGCTCCAAAGCGGCTCCAAAACCACATTATTCCTGGTCCCAAAGCTGCTCCAAAAGACTAACGTTTGCTTCCACCGCAGTTTGATGCAAAAAAATGGCATTCGCACAGGTCTTGCTTCAACTAAAAAAAAATGCACAGGTTAGATGGATCATGACAAATATGCCCCTTTTTCTTTATAGTGTGTCATATATATACTTTTCGAATTCTATTTGAAAATATTCGAAAATATTCGAAAATATTTGCTTCAAGTTCGCTTTGAACCAAAAAATCACTATTCGTACAAGCCTAGGAATGATTCTTTGTTCTATTGTGAACAGGGTGTAATTGGTTTCCCCAAAACAAGAAACACAACCGCAGTGGCATCAATTGTGTGCTGTGCTTTGTTTCAAACGTCAGTATTTCAAATGAAGCTTCAGCATGAAAAAGTTGGAATTTCAATGATAGTCTGAACAAGCATTAGGAATTCGCTTGGGTGTATGAAGTGTGGTCCTGGTACAAGGAGCCAGAGACTGAATTTTTTTTACCTTTCTGCCGAGTGTTCAGAGGTTCTCAAAATTCTTCGCTCAAAGTCACTCGAAGGCTTGCTGTAGCCATTTGGTTGTGTTTTTGGCATGCAGGCGCTGAATGCTCACGAGTTCCCCAGCAGCAACCGACCTTACGGTGAGCTCCAGGCCAACCTGAATGCAGCTGCAGCCGAGCTCAATGAAGCTACGAGTCACATGGTGCAGTCCTCGCGCGGCAACGCTGCCCAGCTGGCATCGTCTGTGCGCCACTTTGGGACAGCCTTTGGTAGCTTGTTGGGCTGTGGCATGGAGATGGCCGGCCAGACCCAGGACCAGGAGGTACTTCTGAGATGCATTTTATTTCACGGCTGTGCTTAAAAAAGAATTCTTGATTTTACCTTTTGTTTGTGCATTGGTCCAATTTGTGAACTTGTCTGGTCTCCTGAAGTGTGAACAACAGGTGATAGCAGAGCAAGTCGGGGCTGTCTTCAAGCACAAATATTTTGTTATGAGAGGTTAATTGGTATAAAGTTTTATGGCTGCAATACAGTCTCCTCTGCTCAACATCAATGTAGGAAATTCCGTCTCGGAAGGTTTTCAGTGCAGCCAACTTCTTATAACTCCAGAACCATCGAACACTGTTCGTAGTTGAAAACAGCACGACGTAAACACTGACACTGGTGCTGGTCCTGTGTTTATGGATACATACCAGCTTGCTCGCATTCTTTATCTTAGAGTGAATGTATATTTAAAAAGCATGTCTTATTTGCTTAGATACAGTGCTCCTCTCACCCTGTCCAAATGTGCAGGTGCGCTCCCAAATGGTGGTAAGCCTTAAAAATGTGTCGATGGTGTCGAGCAAGCTGCTGGTGGCAGCCAAGTCGGTGGCGGCCGACCCGAGTGCCCCCAATGCCAAAAATCAGCTGGCAGTAGCTGCCCGCACCGTAACCGAGAGCATCAACCTCCTGGTCAATGTGTGCACCTCGGCTGCGCCCGGACAGAAGGAGTGTGACAGTGCAGTGCGTGCCATTCAGGTGAGGAGCTCACTCCTGGCTTGTGCAATCAATGCCTGGATTATGGGGAGGACGTACAGTCTAAGCTTCTTTTTCTAGTTCTGATGATGTGAAATTTCTAGGCTTAGGCGAATAGAGAATTTTAGATTCAGCTGCTCTTTCCCCTTATGGCAGGCTCTGTGCCTCTACCGAAGCAAGTGCACTAACCTTCCCTGTAGCACGGCACATTATTTTGACGGGGCTCAATTTCTTAGCGCGCTTTCGCCCTTGCGTGCTCGCACTTCTCTCTGCGTTTGGTATTCCTTTGTCAATGCGGGTGCCTTCGAGAAAAGCTTTAGTGCGTCTTCATCGCACTCTTGGTAGCTGCGGTTGGCAATCTCAATGAAAATACCCGACTTGGCGAGGAAGTCTCGACCCATGATGAGAGACATTGACCGCCTGAGAAGATGCACAAAACGTTGTCGCCTCACACGTCTTTCCCAGCAAATCACAAGCCTAGCCACACTGCTTGATTGTGCTGTGCCTGAAGCAAGGCAAAAGATAGTGTTGCTTTATCTCATGCCGGTTCTCGCCGAGATGGTGCAACACACCGTCCCCGAATAAAGAAGCACTTGCCTCAGTATGCAAAAGTGCTACAAACTTCTTTCGAGATATCATTAACTCAATTAGTGGTGCGGGTGAGTCAACGCAATCACCTGCATGATAGACTGAAGTGCAAGTGATCTGAACGCATCGGTGGAATTACTGATTTTGGTGCAGTGTCTGATGTGCTTCACCGGCGGCGCTGTTCATTTTCCAAACCTCGCCTTTCCTCTTGACTTGGCATGCGGTTACATACGCGAGCGATGTGCCTCGGTGCGCCACACTGGCCTGATAGAAAGTCGCCTCAATCTGGGTGGCCTCGCTCTGGGTTGCGCCACTCGTCTGGCCTCTTGTCCACTACGTGCTTCTGCCGTGAAATGTTGCATTCGGGGGCAGCATGAGCCATATGGAACACGCAAGCATAGGGGTCCAAAGCAAGCTCTGACAGCTCCCAATTGTGTGATACATGCTCATCAGCAAACAATGCTGACGTGTTACCCCTAAATGCCTCTGAATAGTCTTGTGTGAATAGTGAATTTTAGGTTCGAAGCGAACAGTGATTTTGATCGAATAATTTCGAATCGAATTCGAATGGTATGTATGACATATAAAAAAAAGGAATACATTAAAACCACGGTAATTTGAACTCAGTTATTTAGAAATCCTGCCTAATTTGAAGGATTTACATGGTCCCGTATTTTGCAGTGTAAGTTTGAGTGAATAATTTGAAGCGTCGGCCGACACGAGTCCAGTTAAATTAAAAACTTCGGGTGTCGTGTGCCGGTTCCATATTCTGATTTCGCCGCGGAACAAGGACTGTTAAAAGCCACAAGGCAATACAACATATCGATACTTACAAGTGGCAGCTGAAGCACCCCAGCCTCGCTACTTTCAGTGCAAAAAAAAAAGAAAGAAAGAAAGAAGAAAGAACAGTCTCGTGGTCAACCAAAACGTGCACCTGCAAAAAACAAGCTATGCTTCACTGCAGCACAGCAATGACACGCGGGCAGCTTATTGCATGTTTCTTGCAACGTCAGCAGGTCATGGTTTACCCATTTTTTCTGGGATAGTAGAGAAATTAATAAAGTTTACATACAATTTGGCGGAAATTGCGATGTATGCGAACCTCCGATTGCTGGTTGTTCCCGCGTCTTTGCTCTGGTTGCGGAGGTCTTGCCAGCAACACCTACTTTGAAAACTAAGTTTGAAAGTTTCAAAGATCATTTTTTCCAGCCAAAACACATCATGAGCTTCGTCATACTGGCCATTATAAAATTCATAATTCATCATCATCAGCCTGGCTACTTCCACTGCAGGTCAAAGTCCTCTCCCATGTTCCGCCAGTCAACTTGGTCCTGTGCTTGCTGCTGCCAATTTATACCCGCAAGCTTCTTAATCTCATCTGCTCACCTAACCTTCTGTCTCCCCCTAACCCGCTGGCCTTCTTTAGGAATCCTATAAGTTACCCTTAAAGACCTGCGGTTATCCTGTCTATGTGCTACATGCCCAGCCCATCTTCATTTCCTCTTCTTGATTTCAACTATGATATCCTTAACCCCGGTTTGTTCCCTAACCCACTCTGCTCTCTTATTGTCTCTTAAGGCTACACCTACTATTTTCCTTTCCGTTGCTCTCTGCGTCATCCTCAATTTAAGCTGAATCCTCTTGGTAAGTCTCCAGGTTCCTGCTTCGTAGCTAAGTACCGGCAAGATGCAGCTGTTATATACCTTCCTCTTGGGTGATAGTGTCAATCTACCTGTCATGGTTTGAGAGTGCTTGCCAAATGTGCTCCACTCTATTCTTATTCTTCTACTTACTTCAGTCCCATGGTTCGGCTCCGCTGTTATTACCGGTCCTAAGTAGATATAGTCTTTTACATACAACTCAATTACAATTCATAATTATAATAGAATGAATGTGCGAATGGTCCCATCATGACGAGCTGATGGAGGGAGGAGCAGGCGACATACTGCCTCATGTCACAACTGCGTTGCAGTGAAGTTGTCTTGTTTTCTGCGGGTGCACATTTTAGTCGATTACGACCACATTATTTTTTTTTCTGTGGCAGAAGCGAGGCCCACCATTCTTTCTTGTTTGTGGCAAAATAAAGACCAGGTATTTCTGAAAAACGTGACCTTTAGAGCCGCCAGCTAGCCGGCATAGCAAACGGCAAGCACTGATTACTTTGAATAGTTCCATGTTCCTTGCATCCCACTTCTCGTATGTCCCGTTAATTCGAAAACCCGCTTAATTCGAAGCTTTCTCGGGGTCCCAATGACTTCGAATTAACGAGGTTATACTGTATTTATTTTGACCCAACTAACGTGTACAATACTTCTTTTGAATTGAAATAGGGGCTCTATGCGAATACCTTTCTTTTTTTTCGTTTAAAGGAAGTCGAAACAACCTTGAGTAGTAGTGTGGCAGCTTGGGCTAGTTGGTATGACATAATGATAGTTATAGCACGAGAACAGAACGACGACGCAGAGACAAGAAGGACCTCCGTGTCCTTTTTGTCTCTGCGCCGTCGTTCTGTTTTCGCGCTATAACTATCGTCTTGAGTAGTAGTTTCAGTAAGATGCGAGTGATAACCTGTAAGATACTGAATGTTTTAAAATTTATTATACTTGGATCATATAAGCCGTCATAACAAGCTTAATAAAATCAAGAAGTCATTTGAGGGTAATGTGTCCCTTTAAAGGGAATTGCAACACTTTTTCAAGCAACTATGGAGCCAGTAAACATGCTTGTTGCCTCACAAGTTTACCGCTGCAAAGTTTTTAGAATCAGTCCAGTACGAGTAGAGTTCTAAAAATTTGTTGCACGCTGCAATTGCATTCTCTCTTCTCGTCCCGATGAAATAGCTGAAAGCTAAGGAGGGAGCAATGACATGGTGAAAGAAAATACGTCCCACGCACCTCGTGACCTTCAGTCTTCAGGGTCGCTGCTGACCTCCTCTAAGCAGCGTAACCGACCTCTCGGCCGCTCCCCTCTTTTGGTAGTAATAAATTTTTGATCATCATCATTGTGACCTTCAGCACCTTTTTTTTTTTCTTCGAATATGTGGCTTTTCAGTGCGATTGCGCACATACTCATAGACAAGCAGCGGCCCCAGTAACAACGAGGGCTCCATGCTCAAATTAGCCAATGGCTGTAACCAGAGCCGTATATTTCTTCTTGGCTGTGACAAGTGATTTTTGAACTTGTAGTGTCATTTGCCGAGGGAAGAAAGCAATTTTTAGCTTTGAAAATTTATTGTGAATTACAGACTGCGTGCTGCGCTACAGTATTTTGCCTTGCGTGTTCTCGGTAGCTTTGACTACCGATCGGCAGTGTTTTCTGACCATGTTCAGTTAGTGTTGCAGGGCCCCTTTAAAATTGAAACGGGGGCTTTGTGGAAAAGTGAATTTTCTCTCAATAGGTTTTTTCAAGGCTTAGCAACACTACAGTGTAGACCGCTTATAACGTAAGTCACGGGAGTTCTAAAAATCCGCTCTATAAGCGGTACCGCGTTATAACCAAAGCATGCTTTTTTCAGCCTCTGCCTATGTCAAAAGGGCAACCCACATTTCAAAAGCAATTTACTACACTTTTCACTCTCAGGCACATTCAACACAATCACAACACCGTACGGAAACAAACTTCTCAAGTCTGGCGTCAACGGAAGAACGCCGTTATTTTCGTCTGGTGATGCTTGCGAACAGCGCTGCGAACAATATTGTCCTCCACAAAGCTTAAGCACTGAAGCAATTTCTTAGTCAAACTGTTTTTCGGGCAGTACGTTTTCACTTTAGCGAGCTATTCCAATGCGTCTTTGACGGGAAATCTGGTTCTGGCGTCGGGTCGACATCGTCTTCTCTGTCTGACTCGTCGTCCGTTGCAACCTCCACACTACCGCGCACCGCTGCGACGATCGCGTCATCTGTGCTCGCTTCCTCGCAGACAGAAAGCTCCGACTCCCCGGCATCGACAAATTTTTGGAAAGTGTCGGTGGCGGTTACAAAGTCGCTGTCAACAAGGCAGGACCACACGTCGTCAGTGTTGAGGGTCTCATCGACGAGCGACGTGTCGCTCTGCTCATCGTCTTCCAGAGCCTCTGCATTGCGCACGAAGCCTGCCCTTTTGAAACACTTGCTTATGGTATCTGCCTTTACCTGCCACCATGAAGCGACCACCATGTCAATTGCGCCTCTTAAGTTCACTTTAAGAGGCTGCTGCTGCTGCGTGCTCAGCAAAACTCTCTCGCAAATGCGCTTTTTGTACAGCGCCTTTACGGTTGCGAGAGGTTGACTTTTTGCTGTAGTGTTGGCAGGCAAAAACTTTAGGTTGACTGCGGTCAATTTCGGCTTGACGTTGTGGGCCGTGCCGTTGTCGAGGATAAGCACGACCCGCCGCTTCTCTGCCACCATATCCTCATCAAACTTGCAAAGCCAGCTGGT